AAATTTTTAAAAAATAATTGTGTGTACGGGTGTACTGGTGTACTTTAAAAAAAATATTTTTTTGTTATTTTCAACTATTTTGAAAATAGCTATAATTTTTAATTCTTTCTTATTTTTTATATAATTTTTATTAATACTTTTTTAACAGTTTTATTTTATCGGTTCATTTTTTTTTTTTTTTAATTTTCTTTTTGTTTTTTTTGTTTTTTAATTATTTAAAATTTTTAATTATATTGAGGGAAGTGATTGTAGTGGGGAAAGGGTTGTTGTCGGCGATAGTTGGGGAATTGATTGTCATTAGGAAAGCGGTAATGTCAGAGAAATAGTGGAGTTTGGAAGTGATAGTGTTGGGAAATGGTATAAGGGAAGTGATGGAGTCAGAGAAGTGATCGGTTGTTGGGAAGAGATGTTATTGGAAAAGTGGTAGTTGTGAAGAGTTGTCGGAGAAGTATTGTAGGAGAAATGGCGGCATCGGGGAAGTGGTGAAGTAATAGTTTCGGGGGAAGTGATTTTCTGGAGTATTAGTTGTCGGGAAAGTGGTAAAGTAATGGTTTCGGGGAAGTGGGTAATTGAACAGTATCAGGGTGTAGGAGAACTTATCCGCACATGTGATAATTGACCAATGACTTAATTATGATCATTATAATGTAGTACAATCAGGAATAACGTAAAAAAAATTGTCCGTTTTTTAAAAATCGTTCACAACACAAAAATTTACATAAAAAACCGACTTTTACGCTCTAACAAAAATTTTTTCTTGCGAAATTTTACTGTATAGTGATAATTCTTTTCATAAAAATCTTAAAGTTTGTCGCAAATTTAATAAACAATAAGAAATGCATTGATTATCACGTGTACGGACAACTCCCCCTACACGCAGAGTCTTTCGTACATTAATCCTGTTTATGATACCCTGACCACTAAATTAAAATAATTTACCTCAATTTAATTTGTTGCACAGATCATTGCATTAATTAAAATTGATCGAAGTGCGGATTTTAAATTTAGACAATCAAGAAAAAAAATGCGTTGTACCTTCCTTATTTTAGTCCTCGATCCATTGAGTGAGATGCCTGAGAACACAAGAAGCTCCCTCAATTCAATTTGCTATTCGAGATGTTGCTCAATTAAACTCATTGTGCGAAATATGGATTCTAAATTTCGGCCAACTTGAGTAAGAGGGGTTCTCTCTCAATGGATCCGAAGCAAAATTTTAATTAGTCGAAATTGAATAATTAAAATTTTGCCTTCGATCCGCGAGTGATCACTCAACCCATTATTCTTTTCATAAAATTGTTCTAATTAGATAAAATTTAAGCAATTAGAAAAAAGTTAGCTCAGGGACGCTTACCGTACGCCACTGACTATAGTACCCGGTGTAATCCACGTGCTGAGTAAAATTGCTCAGACACTAATTTTTTTATAATATATTGTTAGTTATTATTATAGCCTAACTCCGATTGGCCGATCTGCTGAATTTTGATTGCGTATAATACAATTAACGATGGTATTGATAGATAAAATGATGAACGATATACAGTCTGCCCTCGTTAATATCAACTTCGTTAATACTGTAATACTAGGCTAATGCGTAGCATTGTGTGTCCGGAGCACATGACGATCATTGTATAATACAAACGCGTAAGCATGCATATTTTTGTTGTACTAAATTACAAATTTGAACACGCGTGCGGACAGACAAAAAATTTAACTGTTGTAAGTCCGGAGCGAATAAATTATCGAATATAGTTATGCATCAAAAACGTAACTTTTCTCACGCGTGCGGACAGACATCCATATGCATCAAAAACGCAATTTTTGATGTACTTTACTCGTCTATTAAATGTCCTTCGCTACGCTCCGGACAATAAGATGAATTTTTACAAATTATTATATATTAAAATTCCCTCATATATATCAACTTTATTATAATCCTTTGTTAATATCACTAACAACATGAATTTAAACTAATTCAAATAGGTTGATATAATATATTTATATATATTTTTTCTAATTCTAGTTTTGTCCTCTAAGTATCAAATTATTAATTTCTATTTGAGGATCTAAAAATCTTTATACGTATGAGTAATTATTTTTGAACCCGGACCATTTGTATACAGTCGCACTCCCATATAATCACACCGTCGGGACCTATAAAAAGCGTTCTTATATAGAAAATGAGCTTATATAGAGAGTAATTTTTATATGTTTAATAGTAAGTGGTTCAAAAAATAAATGTGCTTATAAAGACGATGTGCTTATATAGGAGGTGCTTATATGGGAGTGCGACTGTATATGATATACTGTATAATAATTCTTGATTCAAAAATAATTACCCATATACTCATGTATTATCAAATTGTTATGAAGTATATATGATCTCCGTATATAAACTATAGTGATGACCTTTTTTTCTTAACCCAATGATTTAAACGAAATCTCAAAATTAAATCAAAAAATAGCGCAACAAAAATGATCGAGTATATAATATATATATTAAATAATAATCAATGTATAAAGCTAAAAGATTGTATACAACTAAGAATTAGAAGTTTAATTATGAGAATGTTAAATCAATTAAATTAATTAATTGAAGAACTATCTTTAATATAGTATACAAGACTTGAAGTGTAGAAATGCAATGTTCGACAAGCTTAAATTCAACCTAGAACTTTATTTAAAATGTGGTACAATTTTACTTTAAGATTGCTACCAATTCTTGATTCCTACGTAATACTGTAGGATTGCTAATTGGGATCCTTAATAAGATTACCAATGATCTATAACAGAATATGGTGCAACACTAATATTTTTGTTCTTTTTCTTTTCATCCTGCCATTTGCTTAGCCAGTAATCCATTTCTTTCCGACTTTCTTCAGATCTGTGAAATAAAGAACAATATAAATATAATGAATTTGTGTCAGATAAATATAAATTTAAGTGACATACTCAATGTTTACTGTTGGTATAATTCGACCTATATTCAGAGACATGACGAATGCTGCAAGTTCACGAAAACTGGAGTGTTCAGAATATGGAACTCCAAATATTTGACATGTTGGAGAGTTATATGATGGATATATTAAATCCATAGTGTAAGAAGGTGCATTATTTAATATCTCCTCAGCCGTGGACGATGTCGTGAATGTTCCACAAACAGAGGGTTTATAAGCCCATCCAGTTGGTCGAAATGCCATTACTTGTTTAAATGTTGGCCGTAGACTTTGGAGATAGTATATTAATCCCTACGACAAATATTTTCATACAGCATATTTTTTGTGAGTATAAATATATCTAATATGAGTAAAAGGTTAATTATTAATTAATATACCTCTGGCTTTATTTTTGTCAAACACATAACATGCACGGAAGCTTCTTGAGGATTGTTTGTTAAAAGCGCTTCCAACTCAGGGTTCTCTTGACACATGATCATCTTTCTTTTGGAATCTGTCACGTAAATTTTGGAGTTTAATGCTTTCGCGATACCTATAAAAAGATAATTATAATATTCATTATCTTGAGTCTTCTAGTTACAATTCTATAAATGTCGACTTACCCCAAAAGACCTTCTCTTTACCGATCAAATATGTGCCGACAACAATCAGAATTTTGCTATCCAGCAAACTAACAGATTCATGTTCGATATTCACATTAACAGAAGATAAATTGGAATTTAACATCTCTATAGATTCAACTTCTAAATCTGAATCCGACTGAATCAAAGTTTCTTTTGGCTTTCCTTTGAACCATTGATCCAATATCATCTGTGGTTTACCCTCTGGCTCTTTTGTAGCCTTTGAGCGCTTCATAGGAAGTAATTCACCATTTTTGATCACTTCTTTAATCAGTTGTATGATAGCATTGACAACTTGTTCCTGAGCTGGAAAGCAATATCTCTCATTCAAATAGGTAGTGTCAAGGTATAAAATATCTATTGGTGGATTATTAGGTTGTGCTATTGCTGAATGAAGCACTTGGCGTGGACATGCTCGAAAATCACCAGTATGAAGGTATCGTTTAATTTCACCGTTAGCGCATTTGGTTTTGAATAAAAATAATGCAGATCCTGGGCAGCTAAATAAGAGTTTTATGTAAGGGATATGATGCAAAATGTAACAATTACTATTTATGCATCGAGGAAATAATCAAACTTACTGGTTTGCATCAATCAAAGTAACTGTAGTATTAGTCTTATCAATGGCAACCTCTTCATTCATGGGCAATTTTCGAACGTAATATGGTTTGACACGCAATTGCTGAATAACTAGGTTGCCAGTCACAGTTGAACAATATATAGGACCATGTGACCATTTTGAGGATAACCCAACATAATGATCGGAATGGAAGTGACTAATATGCAACAGAATTTGATAGTAACATAATTTGTTGAATTAAAAATCAATTTACTTATAAAAATATAAATTTGTACCTCAAGAAATAAGCGGTACAATTCGGGATACTCCCATACTTGAAGGCATCAACCGTTATGTTCGTGTCTGAAAGGGATAAAAGTTGGAAACACTAGTCGTAGAAATAAATGTTCTAAATCATTTTTAATTACCATGTAATTTCTTGTACCATGGACATTCTTTTTTCGAATCCGGCCTTATGGGAATGTGAATACTCTCATCTTTACAAGGAGCCTCATCCTTACATGAGATGTCATCATCAATATTTTTCTCGTTCACATTATCAATAATTTTCTCATTCTCATCATCAATGCTTTTCTCATTTTCACACAGAACATTAGTATCGGTAATTTCCAATTTAACAGTGGTTGTCGTATCAGATGAACTCCAATATTTTGATGTAATTATTAAGTTGGTTGCTTTATTTTCTAATTTCTCTTGCAATGTACCTTTCATGCAATCAGGCTATTTCAGCCAATTTAATTTCTTTGAATTTTATTCAACTGTTTTATATATGTAAAATTTATTAATTACCTTTTTTAATAATTGGGCTACCGCTTGATTCTTCTGGGCGACTGAAAAAATCAAATAATGTCTTCGAACTAACAGCATTATTCTTTTTTGCAGGACTATTCGTTTTGTTAAAGTCTTTACGGTCCTTTGCAGGTGAACCACCATTACTACTAGCAGAATTTGAAGTGTTTACTTTTGACTGTTCTAATACTCGTCTTTGTAAAACGTTGGCTTTATTTGGAGAAGCTGGCAACGATGATGCTTTATATTTTTTTCCTATATTTTTATTGGCTCTACTTGGGGATTCTCGTTTGACTGGAGTGCTAGTTCTTTCAGTAGAATTATTTTTTTTGGCTGCGAACTCTGCAAGTCGTTCAATGGTTCTAGCATTCCAAATGTCCTTATCCGAATCTTCAATCATTTTATTTTTTATCAGGTGCAGAGGAGATATTCACAAGTCATTAAACTCATAATTTTTCAATTATTTAGGATTGTTATTTTTATAGAAGATCTGCGAAAAGTTCGCGTTTCAGTGATTGATTTATGTTTTCGCGTGTTATACCGATATTATCTGGGTAACACGTATTTCTCATAAAGTTACACGGTAGTACAATGAGAATTAATTTATTTCTGCGAGACTCAATCTCCGCAAAATTAAATAATAAAGATAAATGCGCCTCTATTTAAAAGAATTCTAGCAAAATCTTTATGTGCTTTACACGTCTAACCATATTATCGCGAACTTTTTCGATCATAGATCTTTTTTGTTCCTTAAATTGTCCGAATGTTCATTGGGTTTCAAACCTTTGGAATTAGCACCAAAAGAATATAACAAGGTTCCCACAAATACCAAAATGCCTCCGATTATGACTCCATGATTAAATTCATTATCAAAAAACCACAGAGAAATAACAAGAGAAGTAAATTTTCGGAGATTTAAAACAAGATTTAACGTTAGTGCACTAACTCGTGATTGCAGTCTGTGAACACCCGAAATACACACATACCTAAGTGTTTATAAAAAATGTTATAGAATAGAAAACTTTAAATCATTTAGAATATTTAGCGTTAGAAGGCTTACTGAGTAAGAACATTTATGATGAGATAAGTCCACGATTTTGGTAAATTGCAACAAGTCGAAACATCTTGGAACCAGTCGGGAACAGGTAATATCTTGCTAAGTGGCATTGAAGTAGATTCATTGTAAACTTGGGCCTGTCCTCTGATATCAGAATAAAAGAACAAAAAGAACGGTAATGCTAGAAAATGCTATCGAACAATAAATTAAATTGATAGATTAATTAACTTTAAGAGTAACTTAAGAGTAACTTGATTGAAGAAAAGAATGGAGCTAACCGTGTAGAATAGCCCTTCGCGCCAATCACTTTTATGTTTCTCATATGTAAGTTCTTGAAATAAACCCATAAAGCATGATAATACTATTGTAATTGAGAGTAGCGAGATACCAATCACATATTCTGGAGTGGCAACCTCAATCTTCTCCTAAAGTTGGAAATACCGGAATTAATTATTTCTATAAATTCAGATTAATTGCATAGTTGATACCGTAATAATATAATGATAATTATCATTAGTACCTTAGTATTAACGTCAGATGAACCAATAGTTGCGAGAATGACACCCAGAGTAACCGACACGACCGCGATAACTTGTGCTATTGAATATCTTAAAATATAGACATAAAAAGGATTAAGTTAAACTTATTTATATATGAAATTTAAATGACAATATTTCACACCTTTTATTTCTTATCGTCCAACCCAATATCATACTAACAATTAGCCCGCCACTACGAAAAATAATATGTAATGGTACGGATATCTTATATCCGAATGCTATATTATTCAGTACTGACACCGTAAAAAACATAACCACCTGTAAAAACCAGCGATATAAAGGAACATGCCGTTTCTTAAGTTTTGGGATGGAAGAGGAAAAATCAAGATTATAAAGTAAGCCTTCACTAGCAATGAACAGGAATTGAGCGAAAGTGAGCAGGTTTCCTAGAAAGCGAATCAAAATCTTTAGGAATACGAATTACTATATATATTACATATATATGTATAAATTAAAGGCAAATGATTTCAAGCATACCACTTTTGGGGGCCTCACTGAGGAATTAATGCGAGACAGTTAGTTTATTTAATAATATTGAATAAATAAATTATAGAGCGAAAGCTGTCCCGAGCAATTACTGACGCAACTAATCTTTCTAAAGCAATGACATTTGTACAGCAGCCACCAAAGATTAAAACTATACTCGTGAGAATGTCCCTCAAAGAGACAACGCGCTTATTACGCTGTTCGTTCGACATTGTTTCTCGTCTTTCCTAAGATATCGATAACGTAGAAATATGCAAAATGAAACCGAACCGTTCCGAGTCGCGGTTCGCTTACAAAAATTTGGTTTGATTGGCAGTGTCAAAACCTGTCAATTTAGGATAGCATAAAGTACCGTTGTTGCACTATGCTTAGTCGCGGATTTGTTTTCACGTGATTATTGAGAATCCGTCCTCTGATTGGTTAATTTGTTTAAATAATTTCGAAGCCCTAAGTTTTATTTTTCAATATTGTGGTATGAAATTTTGTGTTTACTTTCAACAATACTTCAAAGATTTTAAAATAGTTTTTTCAGATTCTAAAATAGATGTGACTTTTACTAGTAACGATACCAAGAGGTTTATCATAAAAAAATAAAGCCATGTATGATATGTGGCAAAAATAAACTTGAAGAAAAGTTTTGCAAACTGATACCAAATATTTTACTTAAAGTTATGAAGAGTCAAGCTATTTCAAGTTTAAAGACAAAACTCTAGAGATCTAATTCAAATAAATCTGCTATTCATTTATTTATACAGAGAGACCTCTCTAAATGCACTCTCTATAAATGCACCCTCTATGTAAAATCCCTTTAAATGCACAGTTTAGTCTGGTCCCAGCTTATAATAGCATTATATATTTTGCTCTCTATAAATGCACACCCTCTCTAAGTGCACATTTTTGAATTTTTTTACTATGGTCCCGAGGGGGTGCATTTAGAGAGGTTCCTCTGTACTTAAAATATAAAGGATGCTTTTCAATTACCCTAATATCATTATTATTAAGCAATTTATGTCGACCACAACAGCCAACAAATGGATCAACAACATCTCCCCACTTATTGTATATACGCATAACTTTTTTTACCATGCCTTTACTAATGTATAATAATTTGGATATTTTTTTTTTGCTATACCCATCATAGTGAAGATAAACAATTCTCCATTTCAAGTCTTTACTAAGTGGTGGCGGCATCTTTATTTAAAAGGTTATAAAATGTTTGAGAAATTGAACCATCAATCAGGTATTTGAACGAACAATCGCAATCGCAATCACAATCACATCACAATCATTTTATAAACATTAGTAATCAAGGGGGGTTACAGAATTTTGCAAAGCGCAATAAATTCAGTACTGTACTTGGATAAACCAATGCTCTTTAAATTAATAATGATTCATGAACTTAAATAGAAAATTATATTAAATTAATCAATGTTCCAACATTAACAAAGTGGCAAATATTGATGAACTTGTATATCTCAGTGTTCTTACAATCTAAAATTATAAATGGTAAATGTAATAATCTTGAAAATATAGTTTATTTTAAATATTTAAATTAATAATGTTTATACTCACTACTGAATTATCGTGATAAACCAAAAGTAAAAAGTAAAAATAAAAGTTTATAGAATTAATATGCCATTAGAAGTCTTGTATTATTCAATCTATATAATTTCAAGTAGCGGCTGGCGTGTTACTACACTATGTAATATAATGACGTGTAATATCTATATAATACCCCGATCATTATTCAAGATCACGGGAGTATTAATTAATAATACCCTGACCGTATGTGACTTTCAGCCCCGCTAATACCCAACGGATCAGGATATTATTATTACTAATTAACCGGTTATGCATAATTGAATTAAAATAAATTCACAAATTCGAATTTGTTAATTAATTCAATGAATCGAATATTCGATTCCAACCTCTGCTCTGATATAGTCATAATCTCACATTTATAAATTATTTGAAGGTCAATTTTGATTAAAACTTATGTTTCACGAAAATTATTTGACATTGCACGATTCGTGATTATCGTTTTTATGCATAAGAAATTTTAAATTTAAAGACGATTATAAAAAATTAATTTCATCTTGTAATGTTGAAAAGAAGGTCTAATTATGGTTATTTCGGCAGAATTTAAAAAAGGAATCATTATCTGAAGCCGCGTGAAAACCTTTCAAGCCTTACTCTACAAAGTTTTCGAAATGTTTGACTCTTGATTCAACTAATCCAGATTTAGGTTAGCATCCAAAAATTGATTTTAGCTGATTTAAAAAAGTATAATGTCTCTTTAAAAGATCGATATTCATTCATCCTTATAGATATTTAATCTCAAGTTATGCATAATGATTATGTTCTTGTTTAACAACTGAATTAGCTTGAAATAGCGAGCGATTCAAATCAGTTTATTAGCTTAGCTGTTGATTTTTTTTTTTTTTTAATTAAAAAAAAAAATAAACTGGTTGTCATTCCCAGTATAGAAAATAATGAACCTAAAATACGGTATGGTCAAATTTTGGGTAGATCCTGAACTAAGCGAAGCAGAGTAAATTTTCCGGTTTTCATATCCCGGCCGGGTCAATTTTTTTCAATTCAAAATTTAGTTTTTTTTATTTACAGTATTAAATATAATTTTAAAAAATTAAATCTATACAATAACCAGGTAAATGAAGTTTTTATATATAAAATTTAGAAAAAAAAGCCGGGTGACGCGGTCTGTTCAGATATGAAAACCAGAAAATTAACCTAATCGTAGACCAATAAATTTTTTCAGCTGATCACTAAATAATACCCCTAGGACTGTGTGATGAGAGGGATACTGTTCAAAGGAGTATACTGAAGAGAGTATTAATCATACGAGTTGATCGTATAACAGGATCATTGATACAGGCTATTTGATTAGTACCGGGATACTTTTCAAGAATGATTGGAATTTACGATTGAATAGTACCCCGATACTATTTAAAAGGACTTCTTCAAGAGGCAGCGTTGTACAGTATATAGTATTGAAGAAAAAAAAAAGCGCCTCCCGACATAATTACAGCTGTTTTCATAAATTCTGGGACACCTAAAATTTTCTCGTCTCCCGAAACTTCTTCGGTCGTGTTCTTAGAATCATTTAACTTTTTGGAAACTACTTCGTTGTCTCCATATCGAAGTTCCAAGTACAGCGAATAGTTTCCGAAAAAGTAGGTGATTCTTAGAATGAGATCGAAGAAGTTTCGGGAAACGAGAAAATTTTTAGGTGTCCCAGAATTTACGAAAACAGCTGTAACATCAGATTTTTACCGGACAATATAACTATAGCGGAAGGCGCAACTGTATTACTATATGTATCCCTCAATACTGCAATATAGTCACATCAGATTCTAATAAGTTAAATAGGTTGTGTCCGGTACAAAAGTCCCGATGACAGGTTTTTCGCATCCTATATACCTATCGACCGTTATAACCAGTGTTGGGAAAATTAGTGGTCGACCAGAAATTTACTGGTCAAATTGATCAAATGGTCAAACTAGTCAGATTGGTCAAATCTATTATATGAATATAACGATAATAATAAAATTATATTTAATATACTATTTGACCAATTTGACCAGCACAGATCCTTTGACCAGACCGGTCAAATTGGTCAAATTGGTCCAATACTGGTTATAACAATGCGGCACTTATTTAATAAAAATTTTATTAACCTAGAGCAATTCCGGCCAGTCGATCGGAATTCAGATGCATTCCGACCTGGAATTTTTGGAATTACTCCAGTCCTGTACATATATGTAACTCTGCGGTTACCTGCTTGCTACACGAAAAAACTTGCAGGATCTAATCTGTTATCGACATATTCGATATTGGAGTTAGTACGTAACGTACGTACGTGTACGATTAAAGCTGTATTCATACTTTCAACATGTCACACTTAGGAACTACAAATTCTTCTTTAAACGTTACAACTTTGAGAGAGTTGGCAAGAAAAGATTTAAAGGATGTGCTTGATTCAGTATGGATTCTTTTACTTGAGTAAATCATTAACGTTTGACGATGTTCAGTAGAAAAGTTCGAGCTATATTTCAATAGAATTAATCCTTTTCTACTGAATCATGTCCGTATAAATTAAAATATCCGATTTCAAAAACGAAAGAGAATAAGTCTATAATTTGTCACGTATAGGTGCGGGGGAAAAAATGCCTAATTTTGGATCCCAACATAAGTGGACCTTTGAGTCTTATCGCTGAATTCTCTTTGTTAAAGGTATTTATAAAATTGAATTTGACTGGATTCAATTAGTGAATGAAATAACTAACCATTTATGGAAGGATCATGGCGTCGAAAAAGTACATTATCTTCAACAAGGGCCATTTGAAACCGAGCTTCGAAGCTTGATTTATATTTGCAGACCACAATTAAATTATATGAGATATATAGCTGGTATAGATAAAAAATTCATAAATTCGATTTTTTTTAATTAAAGTATTGAATCTATCATATTTTGGCTGCTTTCTAGAGCACATTCAGAATCATCAAAATGAATATTTAGAGAATCCACAAGCTCAAAAATATGAATATAACCTCTTTTTTGTTCCACGCCGAACAATGATCTGCCAAAAAGTTTTAGAAGAAGCTGGGGTCTTTGGTGATATCCTTGATATTATGATTTTTATAGATTTTTGTAAATTATCTGTTCAAAAAGTATTATCCTTGACTAATAATTTTACAGATCACGATTGGCGAATATCACTTGGACTTAATACCTTTTGAAGACGATTTATTATCCTTGGAATTAGATAACACATTTAAAGAGCTTTATTTGGTATTTTGTTTTTAGCCCTTTAATCGATCTTGATATATTCAGCGTCTATCTGTCAAAATATATTAATCATTTTATATGGAAATAAAAAAGGATGGTGATTATACTTCAATTTATTACGTGGCAAGAGCGCTCATGAAGTTACAGACTTCATTTGGTCTATTTCCAAGAATAATAGGCAAAGGGGATTGTGCCAAGGTTTGAATTATTATTATATGAATACTTTATTGATCTGGTAAATAATTACTTATAAATACACAATTTTATATAGCAACTTGCTGATATGCTCATTCGTATGCGTCGGGAGGTTGCTGTAGATGATCCATCTCCATTATCGATCTCTCAAAGTGTAGATTCACTTATCATTATCGATCGATCGGTTGACCTCATAACACCCTTATGTACTCAACTAACTTATGAAGGATTGATAGACGAAGTATTTGGTATTAAAGCTTCACATGTAGAGGTGGATTCTTCCATTGTAGGACCTGCGCCAGCAACTACTGCAACGTCTACGACTACTAGCGCCCCTTCTCAGTCACAACCACCTCTTCAACCTCAGCAAAAAAAAAAAAAATTTGCTCTGAATTCTAGCGATAAATTATTTGTCCAATTAAGAGATATAAATTTTGCAGTAGTGGGTGGTGTTCTTAACAGAGTTGCTAAAAGAATAAACGAAGATTATGAAGTATTTATTTTAAGTTTTTGTATTTTTTTGTGTTATCGAGTAATGAATTTTTTATATTAATTATATGTATTTATTTTTTTGTATTTATAGGAAAGACATAAAGCTAAAACTATGATACAAATCCGTGAATTCACCAATAAATTAGGAGGATTACAATTAGAACATCAGTCTCTAAGGATTCGTATCCTTTTTTACTAATTAAAAAAATTACATTTCAAACATATACTTTTTATATTTTTCCTTAACAAAATGGTTAGATACTGGTATAGCTGAAGAGATAATGGCGTATACCATTACACCAGAATTCAATAGAGCTCTAGAAGTGCAGCAAAGTATATATACATTCTAATTACATTCCCTATTATTTTTTACAATTGGTTTTTTTTTGATTTTAATTGCTATTACTATTGCTACAGATTTGGTTGCAGGCATAGATGTAAATACACAAAACGAATATATAGAAGAAATGATCAATCGACATGTTCCACTTACTCAAGTTTTACGATTATTGTGTCTACAAAGTCTTGTAAATGGTGGATTAAAGCAAAAGAGCTTTGAATTTTTCAAAAAAGAAATATTACAGGTACAAGAGATTATTAGTTTACAAAGTTTCATTTTTTAATCACACAAGGAATGACAATTATCATAAAATGTACCAATCCAGACATACGGGTTCGAACACCTTCAAACGTTACTGAATCTTGAACGTCTTATCATGTTTTCTAAACAATTGTCATCTACTCGCAATCCATATGCTTATATTCGTAAAACTCTACGATTAATCGTAGATGATGTTGAAGAACATAATCCTCAGGATATAGCATACGTATATTCTGGTTATGCTCCTTTAAGTGTACGTTTGATACAATGCGCAACGACAAAGAGTGGTCCATCCTCGACTGGTAACGGGTGGAAAGGATATGAGGAAGTGTTAAGAATGTTACCAGGTAAAACTTTCGATGAGGTACAAAGGCAAGAAGAAGGAGCTATACGTTCTAAAAGTAAGTATATGTGATATTTGATCAATAAATACGTCATATTCTAACTTTCATCTGATTAGGAATGGTACAAGGACAGCATCCACGCGTCACACTTGTATTCTTTTTGGGTGGATGCACATATACGGAAATTTCTGCCATACGCTTTTTAGCACAACAGGACGACGGTATGATTTTTTATTTATGTTCTATCTTATTTTAATATACAAACTACTAACTATGCATTTATTAAATTTAATGTATATTAGGGCAGCGAGAATACGTTATTGCTACCACACAAATTATTAGTGGAAATTCTCTATTGAATTCAATTATGAGTAATGATCCCATCCAATCGTGAAAAATCGACTAAAGTTAGTTTTCGGTTTAGTCGATTGATTCTTTTTTTCAAATTGGCTGATCGATTTCTTATCCTTCCTGCGATTTTTTTTTGACAAATTGCATATAAATCGTAAGATGAGGTTATGTAGTATTATAAACGTCACGTGTGAACTTTATGCCATATAAACTTTATACATGTCCTTTCTGTTCTTTTAAACTTCATATTTTTTAGAGTCCTTCAGAAGTCACATGTGAAAGGTGCAAAGATTTCATTGTAATTTAGGATCGGTGATGATCGCCGAGAATCAACAATTATTTATAATAAATTAACTAGTGATATTAATAAATTAACAATTAACAATTGGAGTCTTTGCCTTGAAATCACGTTATGGGACATAGTAATTCATATGTCCTATAACATGATCTTCAAGGCAAAGAGGAACCCGTGTGTAACTGGGTTATTCACTACAACTCATACATTAACTAAAATTATTAGGATAAGTTAGCAAATCATACCGAATTAAAAATTATTTTTGGAATATTTATAGTTATATGTCCGTCTGTTAACAAATTCTTGATTTTGATTGGTTGTTCATAATGTAGGTCAAATTTTAAATCCTTAACAGTGATTACAGAGTTTGACTCACGATGTTTTATGATTGACAAAGCAAATCAAAAACCCGAAATGACAAAACTTTAATAATCTCGGAATTCTGTTAAGCTCATTGGGATCGTCTCATCGAGACGAACATTTTGGCGATAAATCATCCAAAAATGACTAGTGAAAAAGATAATTTTAATATGCACATATGTATTGATTTACAAATTTATAATATTATATATATAAATGTTAGGAATATATTTTATGTTGTATTGATAAACTAAACTTAGTATGAGTCAATTTACACATATTATCAAAATCACAGTTAATAGCATCACCCAATATTTGTTTGAATATATTCCATGGGCAATAAGTATGAATACACTTAGGTATCACTGTAGGTTTTTCGTTAACCATAAGTTGAATAAGGGTCGTGCCAAAGGTAGGATCAGCATCATACCTAGTTGAACAATTATAGATCTCAAAATAAACGTTTGCTGTAAATGGTACCAATTTGCTTGTCCTAAATTTGCGCGATGAGATTTGTTGTGGCAAAGTATCTGCCGTTAAAGGATAATTATCTTCATATAATCCCTGTAAAAAAAAAAAAAAAACATAATTTAGAAAAAAGGTCTAGATAACACATTAATATGACAGTTTAGACCTACCAGCATTGTTGCCAAAAACATTATAGTTTCCGCATGCGCAAATTTCAAAGTACTCTTTACTTGTGATCGTCCAGTTAGATAGGATTCTACTGATTCTACAAAGCTAGTGAAAAATCGACAAGCCAATTTGGAATTAAGTTGATATCCATAGGAATAGCTATAATAGTCGCCCAAATCAAGGAGGTATTCTAATTGTAAAAAATCGCTTTTCTCGAGTAAACTACACCAAGTATCATATTTATTAGAAAATGACACCGCAAATGAACACGCGCGATAAATATAGTCAACATGAACAGGATCTAAAGGTGGTTGAATTTTTAATCGATCACTGATTCGCCGAGAAATAGTTGATATAAATGAGTTAAGGTATTTCTCTTCTTGCCGCTTGCGAGTAAAATTACTTTCTTTGACCGTGTCGAGCCATAAAGGACATGCATGGTGCATTGACAATTCCGTATCTTGGTTCTTAATAATATTGACAAAAAATGTTACTCTATAATTATGAGCCATCTCACCGTAAAGTTCATCATCATATCATCATACTCACCTTAGGAATCGAATAAATATATACAGGTTGTAATTTCGAATCACTCAAAGATCCGTATCCTGAAAACAACCCAAGGGAGTATGCGATTCCGGATTGACCGGTTCTAATATAATTTTTAGATTAAATTCTTCGATCTATTACTTAAATCATCGATGATCAATTCAAGTGCTATGATGTTATCTAAGACATTTATCATGTAATTTTTATTCATAATAAGGATAGTAAGTCAACATCCCCCTATGATATAACAAATTGTCAAAAGGTCGGAAGAGTAATAAATTGAATGCAGTACTGTTCGTCGGTCTCTATGTATATGTTGTAGGTGGGAAACGGGATTTAAGTGGATTCGGAATTTCTTAGTTAAGATAGGGTTAGGGTATTAGCGGAAACGAAGTTTCCGCTTTTACTAAATACCCGTGATCTTGATATAGTGATCGGGGTATTTATGATAAATCTACCCTAAAATTCTAATTTAACTAAAGAATCCACTTACTACATTATTTTGATCACCTCAATTACGCTGCGTCTTTTTAACCAGTTGGCCGCACTAATGCATAATGACAACAAGTGTGCATCAAATTATCGGTTATTTAGATTTTAATGCACACTGACAATCCATGCCTTTACATGGGGTCCTTCGAAGGGCAAAATTATGTAATCGGATGCTTATCAGGGTTAGAAGATACAATGGGCTGCATGGCCGGGGATGAATAGATATGGGATCTTTGCTATCAAAATGACCCTCCGAGGCTATGTTGATTTTGTGAATAAAAATCAAAATTTCCAGCTATCTAGTGATCGGGTTTGAATAAACTTTTTTTTATTTTGTAAATCTCAGTAGAATCTACAAATTAAAAAAAAATTTCATTCAAATTGGATAACTAGATGGCTGGCAAATTTAATTTTTATTCACAAAATCAACATAGCCTCGGAGAGTCATTTTGATAGCAAAGATCCCATATGCCAAAACAGATATAGAGGTGTTGAGGTAATTAGTAAAAGGGTGTAAAAGGCTAGTTTTTCAGAAGATATAAAGTATATATCCAAAGAAGTATAAAAAGATATATAAAATAAGAAGATTATAGTAAATTCTTCAGAAAAGAGGAGTAATTGTTTCTTCTTGATCAATATTATTTTTAACAGAGTAAAAATTAGTAAGACCAAGATTGGTAATTACATAGTTAGTGCAATCAAAAAACAAATTGGTAAGAATATTAATTAGCTATTGAGGCATTTGTATATAATTGAGAGATTTTTAAATAGTTCAAAGTTAACTGAGTTATAGGTCTTGCTCATGTCTTAAAAGAGTAGCTAGAGTTGCTTTGTATTACTGTTGGCATCTTTGATTATATTGTTAAAAATATAGATAGGAATAGAGGTTGAGTTATCAGGAAGTGCAACAAAGTTAAAAGAAGACAGAATATTATATTTGGAGAGAGTAACATTGAGATAGTTTATAAGAAGTTTAATATATAGTTTTTTGATATATTTGATTAAACTTATAGGCCTAATATTAGATAAATTGTCATCAAAAATAGGCTTTTTAGAGATAAGAAAGATACAATTTTTTTTTCATTATTTGAAGATAGTTTGAAAGGTAAAGCAGTAGCTGAAAAGAACGATAATAGCAATAAGAAAGTTAGAACCTGCATGTTTGAATATTTTATAGCTAATTTCAGAGAAGCCACAAGCTTTGTTATTAGAAAGTTGATTAATAGTTAGGATAACTTTATTTTCAGTGAAGTTACAAAGAATATTGAAGTACTAAGTAGAATTAATATGAGATTTGGGGTTGTATTTGGCTTGCTATTGGAAGTTAAATATGTTGGTGTTGATGTAGCAAGAAATAGTTAATTATCAAAGTGTTGTTAGATATATAACTTAATAGTAGAAGAGTCAGTGACAATATTATTATTTAATCAGATATTATTAAATTTAATCAGGTTCTTGTATTGATTAAGAATACTATTAATTATTGAAGTAGGATAAGTTTGTAGTTTAAAATATCTTTTTTAATAGTATCAAGGATTTGTTGTTTAATTTCTTTGATATTCTCTATATTCTAAGCATAAAAGAGATTTTTTTACTCAAATTTAATATTGGTAATTCAAGAGGTAAGAAGTTGGTGTGTAGATAGTAGTGTTTCTTGATACGTTTGGGTTTGAAAGAGTCTGAATCTGATTCTAATCAAACCTGAACTCGAACTATAAATTTTGCAGATTTTTGAACTTGAATTAGAATAAACTTTATTGTCCAAACTCAAACCCAAACTCAAACATGACTGATAGTTTGGTCCAAGTTTAGTTTAGAGTTCACAAACTTGTTCAGGTTTGATAAAGTAACTTGGTTAGTATTTAGTTAGAGCTTCGATCCTATTTTTTTAAAACTAACCAAATTGAATTTAGATTCTTTTTTATGAATTTGGTTATAGTCGAATTGAGTAAATTTGAATTTGCTTTGAATTCAATTTGGAATTATACTTACAGACTAAATTAATATGAATGAAATGAATTTAAATATAATAGTAAATAATTTTATTATATTTTTTAATTCGGTCAAGATTCTTTTTTAGTATCTGCTAACTTCTCTAAAACAAAAAAGAATTTTGATTATTTTTAATAGTAGAATCCTACATCCCTAATAAAACTTTAATATATTCTTTTTTGTTTGTTTGTAGTAGTTTTATTTTTTTAAAAAAGTACTTTAAACTATATAATTAATGTAAAATTAAATTTATTTAAACAGCCAATCACACGAATATCTGCCTATGAGATTCAAAAGGTGCTGTGTCTCAAAAATAAATTACCATGAAATAGTTTCTATATCACTAAGATCTCAGAAATTTGCTCATATGAAAAAATAATAAAAGCCCTAATAAATAGACTTCTATTTTAAATAGTAAAATAAGATTTACAATTAGGATTATGTTGAATAAACTGGATGGAATTTGTAAACATGCAAATGTTAATCTGAATTGTATAAAAAAAAATGATTATGTTGTGATGGGTTTAAATTTAAAAAGTTCGATTTTGTTCTTTTTTTTTTGCTACCTGAATATAATTGTTATAAATAAGGTTGTTTTTGATCTTAATAAAGTGAAGAAAGTTGAGTTAGTAAAATAAAGAAGTGTTGTTAATAAACCAATTCTGGTTTAGTTAAATAAAAATTGTGTTCTTACTATATACCTAATAAGCTTTAGCTTTGCCAAATCATACTGTCTCTCACCATTGGGTATATTATGTAGTGTATTTGTTCTTGGTAGTAATTAAGAAAGTTTGTACCACTAGATTGTTTACTCACAATATACAATCTAAAAAAAAGATAGTATTAATCCTAATTGTTGTATATGTTGATATGAAATATGTAAATTCAGATAAGTATTTTTAATTTAATTAGTTTTTTATTTTAGCTATTATGTAACTGCTAATAATAGGTCCATTATTAAAATTAAATATAAGTACACTATAGGCAAAAGTGTCTATCATCTACAATATCAAGATTTGTACCTGAATCTTTGCTTTATTTAGTGTGAGTGATTACTAATTAATATGCACTGTGAATGTAGCTAATAACAGTAATATATAGCATATTTCTGTTAGTAAAACAACTGTGAGTGGGTAAAGCAAATCTTATTAATATATCTACAAAAAAGTGTTTATCAAAGATAACAAATAGACTTGCTATACCTTTCTACTTCCAAGCTTAATATTATAATAAAAAATATATAATTAAGTTTACCAACATATGAATTAAAAAGTTAAACCAATTTTTTAAAATAATCCTCTTTATTATGTTTATTATATAAAGAAACAGATTACTAATTGATGCTCACTCTCTTATTTTTACAAAATATTAATATTAGGTCTATAACTATAGTAATAATATAAAATTCTAATAGTTATAAACTCAATGTTATCTTTATTAAAAGTAAATTTAGATTAGTTATATATTTTTAATTATATATAGAATAAATTTATAAAATTTATAAATTTAACTAATTTTTTTTTTTTACATTTTACTCAATTTTATTTAGCACTAATTTAATAAATATGTATATAAATATTGTAACAAAATATTCAATTAGTAATGTAGAACTCAATTTTTAAGCCTGTGAATGACTTTTAACTAAGTGCACTATATACAAAGATTAGATATTAAAAATTAATTACCAATTATTTTTATAAACAATAAAAATATTTAAATATACTTCATAATTGAAAAAAAAATAAATGGATCTAAACACTATTTATTAGAAATATAAATTAATATAGTCTATTTATTTATCTATTTAACTATTTAGAACTGTACCTTATAATAAATATTGCAGTTGATACTGAAAATGGCTGATGCTGAAATTTTGAGATCTTTATTTAGAACTATAAAACCTACTAAAACCTATCTATACACTTTAATTAATAAAACCTGACCTTAAACTCTACTCAAACTATTATATAAAGACTAAAAAAATGTACTTCAAAAAATTGTAAAAATTTAATAATAAAATAATCAAAATTTCAGCATCAGCCATTTTAAGCATTAGCTATGACAATAAATCTTTTAACTTTTTTTTTAATAGTTTCTAAGCCTATGAGTAAAAACATTGTATTATTTTACTAGATTTCAGTACTAATCTAGATCTTTTATTTGTAATTAAATTTTCACCTACAGAAAAAGCATATTTGGAAGTAGCAAAGGATGTGGGGATTGCCAAGTAATTACTAGCCATGCAAGTGAGGTGAGAAAACTGTACTTGATTTGCCTATTATTAAGTTAATTATTAATATATTATTTCATAATATATATATTTATTGCCAATTAATTTTCATCAAACCAGCATATTCATATCTTTATTTGCTAGCCTCTCTGAAATATAATGTTCAAGTTCATTGAGGTTGTTGTCATTTTCATTAAAATTTGTATCTAGTATTGATTGTGTAGTCAATTTTATAACATTGTTAATATTTTAATCATTATTGAATATAGCTAATAAATACTTCATTTTAAAAAAATTTTGCATTCTAAAATATAAATTAATTATATAAGTATATAAAATTAAATTAATAACTATTAGAGATTATAAATATGGTGTTTTGGTTGAATATATATTAAATCTATTCATATTTTAGTACTGCTTATTTTACTGATACCTTTTTACCAAAAATTTATTTGACTAATATCATGAAGGGGTAGAGTTAA